TCTTCTGCCTTTACGCTTCGTGATGTAGATCTCCTCTCCGAGTCGTTGCTCCAGCAGGTCGATGCCGATTTGAGCATCGGCAAAATCGACCGATCGCACAAGACTCGAGGTCACTGAATGCTTATGTCGATGGGTTCCGCGGAATTAGCAGTTCTGCGTTCTCTTTCGCTCCGCGAGGTGGAGATGCACAAGGCCGGAATTTCTGTCGCTCAAGCCACGCAAAGCCACTCACCCGCTCACGAGCCAAGCGAACTTCGAGGGTTGAACGCACGACTGCTTACGAGCGTCGATTCGACAGAATGCAAGCTGTTTACGTGGCCATGACGGCCAGCGCGCGACATGACATGGACGTGACAAAGACACACACGCGCGGGACACAGCTGCAACACTCGACATTGTATTTCTACTCGGAACGCTAATTGGTCAAGGTGCGTCGACGACGAATGGTCGAACGTCAAGATTTTGAAAAGAAGGGAAAACGAAGCGGAAAGATTGGGCGCCTTCGCCTTCTCTTAAGAGGTGACAGTGGTCTGACCAAGGGGACCAGTGATCTAGTCGACATCCATCTCGTCCTTTGGCGCTTCACCCTCCGCGGCGGGTGCTTCGCCATCAGCAGGGGGAGCTTGTTGACCCTCCTTGGGCGCTTGTTGCTCCTGCTTAGGAGGAGGAGGGGGAGCACTGGAAGTCGGCGGCTTGACCTTGCTCATGACAGGCACCGAGGTGTAGATGACGTCGTCTCTCCACTTAGCCATCTGAGCAGTGGTAATCTTGGGATCCACGTTCTTAGGCAGCTCCGACTGCTTGGCCAACTGATCTCCCAACCACTTGTCTGCATTCGCACAAATGTCAATGACCTTCTGCTTATCGGCGTCCGAAATATGGTTGAACTTTTCATCGCCGCCAGTGGCTTGGGACATGTAGAGATTGATCGAATCTCTCAAGGCGGAGGCAGCCTTGGGCCTCTCCTCGTTCTCGGTGTATCGATACGCAATGGGGGCGCCAATCTTTTGCAACTTCTCCAATCTCTCGACGTAAGCAGACTTTGTCGCGTCCTCTCCCTCTTCGGAGTATAGCCACTCCTCTTGCTCGCTAAGCGCAGCCAAGAATTGCTCCTTTTCCTGAGGCTGGACGAACGCCTTGTAGCGCTCGTCCAGCTTGCTTCGCTGGTCGTAGATGTACTCCTCCAGAGCATTCTTCCTGTCCTCAGTGTCGACTACGAGCTTGTCACTGGCGTACATTTCGTTCTCCGCCTCCTTGAGACTAGCGAGCAAGCTTGGGTCCTTGCCAGCAAGACCAGAGATGACAGGGAGGTCTCCCTTGCGCTGCACCTTCTTGACCTTGCGCTTCTCGGTCTTGGGAGCTTCGCCCTCAGCTCCATCGACAGCGACGTCCTCTTCTTTCTCAACTTCCTCGACAAGGTAGGCGCTCTCGACGTTCAAGATGCCGTGCAGGTTCAATCTCGCCTTGACCTTTACGATGGAATGATCGCCCTCAGCGGTAGGGGTGACATTCTTGATTTGGAAATCGCCGAGCCATGGGTTGATACCCGCTGGCAACGCAGCGGGGTTGGCGTAATGCGCAGAGAGGGAAAAGGGTTCCTTGCGGTAGAACGTGAGAATTTTGGTGGAAGGGATTGGATTGCTTGGTTGGAACACGACCAACTCGGTGTCCTCGTCTGGCACATCCGCCGCCTTCTCCCAGGTGACCTTGATGGGGTAAGAGGCAATGTCGTGCACTGTGAATTCTCGCACTTTGAAGATCGGAGAGAGCGAAGCACAGGCGAGGGTGCATCCACGAACCACAGCCTCGTCCTGATTGGACGTGAAAGACAGTGGCTTGCCGAAGAACGCCTGAACTCGGTCCTTGAGGGCAGGAACACGAGATCCACCTCCGACCAGCTCGACGCTGTCAATCTGATCCTTCGTGAGGCCTGATTGTGCCAAAGCCTGCTCAAGAGGCACGTGCACCTTTTGCAACAAGGGGGCGATGAGTTCTTCGAATTCCTCGCGCTTCAGCTGGGAGGCAGCGTCAATGTCTTCCATAATGCTCTCAACGTTCAGAGGAGCGACAGCGTTGGCAGAGAGGACTTTTTTGAGACGCTCGCAACCGGCTGCGAGGCGGAAGATGGCCTTGGGGTTGGACAAGACGTCAATCTTGTACTTGCCCTTGAATTCCTGTGCAAAGTGGTGCAACAGGGCATGGTCGATGTCACGTCCACCAAAGTGCCTGTCCGAAGCTTGACCAAGGACAGTCAATTGACCCTTTGAGAAGGCGACGATGGCAACCTGGTAGCTAGAGTGACCAAAGTCTGCGAAGACGACATGCCTGGGTGCATCAGCCTCTGGCAAGTCCGTCTTGGTGATTCCGTATCCAAGAGCAGTTGCGGTTGTGTCGTTGAGCAGTCTAAGAGGGTTCAAGGATGCAATCTCGGCCGCGTCCAAGTAGGCCCGCCTTTGCACGTCGGTGAACCATTGAGGCACAGACAAGACGACATCCGAGACTAGAGATCCACCCATCTCTTTGCTGGCCTGGTCCCGAAGCTTGCCCAGGTACATAGCAAGTAGTTGTGTTGCCGAAAAGACCCGTTGCTCGTTTGCAAATCTGACCTGTAATTGTACGCCAACAAACACCAAGCGTCAATGTCATGCATCGTCACAAGCGTTCGTGAACAACTGAGAATGACTCACCTTGACGCCGACCTCGCCCTTAGCATCTACAAGCTCAGCATTGATGAATTTCTTCTCTTCCTCCTCGAGGGAAGCAAATGTACGTCCTACCAGACGCTTGAGACTGCCAATCGTGTTCTTGAAGTTGGAGGTCTGCATAGTCGCAGCCCCTTCACCCAAAGCACGCGCCTTTTGTCCAAAGGAGACAAGCGACCTGAAGATGGCAGACCTATGTCAGCATGCCCGTCGTCGTGCGTAGCGCCTGGATCAAAATCAACAACTACTCACGGAGTCAAACGTTGACTGCTCTCGTTTGCGAGCACGTCAACACCACGAGCTCGGGCAGCACCAACCTTGGAGGTGGCATTGCCCACGTCGAAACCGACTACCGACATGGTGCTGTGAGCGGTTTGTCGCAAAAATAGAAAGGACGTCTAGAGGGTATGCTTGTGCGCGGCGCGTGTTGCGATGATGATCGTCTCACTGAAAGAGCGTGCAGGAGTTGCTGTCGCTGCTGCGCGTAATGCTGGAGGCGATTCTTATGATGAATCAGGTGCGATCCGCCTGTGGAATGGACGGATGTGAATGAAAGGCTGATGATGGTTGATAAGTGTGCGCTCGTCCCAATGCACCTTACACCAGATACGCCTGTTGATCGATCTGAAGATTTTGGTCTGAGCGCGAGCCTCCATCATCAAGCGTGCAGCTACGACATTGTGATTATTAGAAGAAACTTTCAAAACCCAGGCCAGCAGGCGCGTGCGCGGCTGCATGGCTATAGCTGAGTGCCTTGAATCCTGACCCAGCCATCACAGTGCACCCATGCAAGCAT